CTTTTAAGCCTTTTGAGCTTATTGAAGGTTGGAAAATTCAACAAACGTCTAATTTGTTCACTTTAGTGTGCAGACAAACTTTATTATGTCTAAAAAGTCTTACCTTCAGGAATATTTTCTCTAAACAGAACACAGACAAACCACAGTGGAAGAGTAGACGGGAAGTCAGAAGCTAGTTTTAACAMATGCAGGTCATAGTCTCATGGCTGGGACACAAATCCTTAGAGACGACCTACAAAGTGCATCACCTGAATAGAAACTTTTACTGATGAGAGCAGGGCGGTACTGTGGGGAGCCATTTGTAAAGTGACCAGTGATTAAAAATAACATTTAGCTTCAAACACTGTTCAAAAAGTAGTGTGGATTTTCTCATGTCACCTTTCAGCACATTTAAATAGTTCAATAGCAACATTAAGAATTTACATTTAACATTTAAGTTTAACATTTAGATTTACCATTTAAGATTTATTTATTTATTTATTTATAACATTATTCATTTCTTTACAACAAATGAATTCTATATGCAAATAAAAAAGAAAAAAACACAAATACAATGAAATGAAATGAAGCAGAGAGAAGAAAAATATCTTATTGTATCTGCCCTTTTTTTCCTCAAAAATAAACTCAAACAAAACTAATCTTCAATTAAAATAAAACAAAACAAAACAAGAAAAAAGTTAAATCCTTCTAGAACACAAATTTCCATGAATACATTTTATACGGTTTCATACTTCCTTAAGATTTACATTTAGATTTAACATATAYGATTTACATTTAACATTTAGAATTTAGATTTAACATTTAAGATTTATATTTAACATTTAGAATATAGATTTAACATATACGATTTACATTTAACATTTAGAATTTAGATTTAACATTTAAGATGTACATTTAACATTTAGATTTAATATTTAAGGTTTACATTTAACATTTAAGATGTACATTTAACATTTAGATTTAATATTTAAGGTTTACATTTAACATTTAAGATGTACATTTAACATTTAGATTTAATATTTAAGGTTTACATTTAACATTTAGATTTAATATTTAAGGTTTACATTTAACATTTAAGATTTAGATTTAACATTTATTATTTAGATTTTATATTTAGATGTAACTATTTAAATGTGCTAAAAGATAACATTAGAAATCCACACTAGTTTTTTGAACAGTGTTGAAGCTAAATACGACAAAATTTGGCCGTTATTTTAAAGCACAAATCACTTTAAAAACAGCATCCCTTACATTACAAACTCTTCCAGCTCATGAGTTTTTGTTTCTAYATTATTGGAACTTTGAAGGGCCCATTGTTTCCCAGCACTGTGTGCGACTCCAAGCCCGGTTTGGGAGCAGAAACAGAAGTGATGTGTGTGCAGAGCAGCCAACAGCTGGAGGCAACATCTGATGTAATTTAGAAAAACCCAGACTGTACGGGTCACGACTGCAACAGTCTCCCCATGCTGAGAAACTGGCTGTTCCTTTCAATTTCCCCACTCATGCTATATTGAAGCATCCATTTATTGTGCTAAAAATCCACAAATATTCAGCTAATTAGTCTGTGCAGAGGGGTTTATTCAGAGCAATTATAGTCTGAGAATCTTATAATAAAAATTAACCCCACGCTGCAGAGTCACTCATGTTTTCATTCATTCTCAGCCCGGTCCTTGGAGCTGACCATGACAGAACATTGTGCAGTTTGTTAAATAACAAGATTAAAAACTGTTTTATACTGTATAGTTGCACTGTTTTTCTGAAATAATCTTATTTTATTTCTGTTAACAGTAATAGTCTGAGGAAAAATCTTCAATCCAAGAACAAAATCAAAACTTAATTTTTTCCCATTGGTAGAAGGGAAAGAATTTGCAGAAACAAGGTATTTTTTTGCCAAAACAATCTGAACAAGCTGGGCGGTATGACCCAAATTTTATATCACAGTATTTGATGGTATTTTCCTTTTCCTCACAGCTCGGTTGATAATAAACACAGYTTAGTGATTAGCAAACCTGAAGTTACTCTTTCTGCAAACCCAGATACAAAACCGCTTTATGATTGTTGCTTAGGCGTTTCTTCATATCGTTAGCTTACTTTTCTAGCATCGGACTTTCATTTATTTATTTAGTTTCATGAACTTGCTGTTGTTACCGAGGTCATCAGAAGATTTGGGAATAATAAGGGCAGGTTATGTTAACCGCCTTTATTATACAGTATGTTCATATGAAGACAACGCCAATGTTGGACTCAACGTCTTCATTCATTATTTCCGCGTCTCTTAAAGAACTCCAGGTTACATTTCAAAATAAGAGCGCCATCAGTAGTAGTGGATTTTTTTTTTGAGACGTTTAGAAATAGGGAGA